GAAATCCATTTTTATGTATATTTTTTTAATAATAATAATTAATTAATAAACATTCTACCATATTTGTATTTTTTTGCGCATTCTATTTATAAAAGTGTGCGATAATCTCTTCAGAATCTGTTTTTAGTGAAGCTGGTGATATTGACAGTTACTATCGCCGCAAGCTGACCTCTGATAAATTGGAAATATTGATATTTCTAAAAAGAAATCTTCGCTATATTAATGTTAAATATTATTTTAAATATTTATTTCAAATTTCATAATATAATTTTTTATTACTTAATATGTATATAGATTAAAGTTATTACTTATTATATAAAAGTGATTTAACAATAAAAATATTTTATATACTTTTAGAATTGCAATTGAATTGAATATAAACTATCTGATCATTATAATATATTTAAATGACATAAGTTATGGTATAGTTAAATGATGTTATAATAATAAAAAGTATATTAAAAATTAAAACCATTGGTATCTTTACAGAATACAAAATTAGATATGATATCGGATCGGTAATCGGCCGATATCAATTTAATATATCCAAAATGATTTTAATTTGATAATCAACCATCTTCTATAAAAATTTTTAGTAACAATTATCTAAAAGGGACTTAACTATAGGTATTATTATGTTAATAATTATATAATAAAAATGTATACTATACTTTAATACAGGGTTATGCATTTGACCGGTGAAATACGTTTCGGTCAATTGACCGATATTTGACAGGTCAAATATAGTAAAATACGGTCAAATTCAGATATATGTTTTTTTAAGTCAATATTAACTTTATTTTAAATATAATAATAAAATGAATCTATAATATTAATTTTTTAAATTCATTGTCATTCAATAACTAACGTTTAGCTCTCTGTAGCAGAGTCTTGTTCCGACTCATTCAATATTATCATTTTTTTTAATTTTTAATCTTTTCCTGAAGTCGAGATCTTTCGATTTCTATTTTCAAAAGAATTTTAACCCAAATCGACATATTTCTTTAGAAGAACTAGGAATTGTCAGTCTTAATGAGCACGATGGCAAAGTTTAAGCTATTAACTTGAGGTCGGAATTTATTGTTTTTTATGGAAATTACTGTTTTCCACATAATTTGCTATTAAACATGCTGATTTTGCTTCTGAAATTAATTATATCAATTAAAATATTTTGATCATTACAACCTTGTAAAATGGCTAATTCATGAATTATATCATATACTTCATTGAATTCAATACTGGTGAGATGCTCCTCTTGATATTGGGGACCCGAAAAATAAGCAACATTGTGATCACATGTGTTTATTGTTTTAAACATGTTTTTAATTTTTTTTCTTTCGATTTTTTAGAGCATTTGACCAGGTCAAATACTCCTCAGGTCAATTGACCGACTTGCCAACCCTGCTTTAATATGTTTAACATTTCAAAATAAAGGATCTTAGATACAGATACTAGTATCTTATTAAAAATGTCAATAAGATATTGAGTACAAGATACAAAAGGATATTGTATCTTAGATACAAGTATTCGCGGTACTGCCCAACTCTGGATATAGGGCAATAAAATATGAGAATTGATAAATCGGTTGGTAGCTTTGATACTTTATAATTTAGTAGATAGCATAAAAAGTATAGATTGACATCTTGGAAAGAAAACATGATGGATTTTTATAGAAATAGATGAAAATTTTGGAAGAGGTTTTACAATTTAAAATTGGAAAAAAAATGAAAACATTTTTATATATCATTTTAATAAAATAAAAACATGATTATTTCATATCTGTAAATTTTTTTAAAAAATTCATAAGCAATATAATAATTATAAGATTCAAATATGTAATACTCAGTGCTGAAAATAGATGTTCTTTGATTAAAAAGGTCAGTATTTTTCAATACTTTTGGCAGTATTTAATTTAAATTGGGCAGTAAAAGATTTAATTTAGCAAGTTTTATATTGATTTTGTATTCAGCTATAGTTAAATTTTTATAATAGGTATTAAATATTTCAGTAAAATAATTTTTATCAAATGAGGAGACCAGGTCAAATTTCCTAATTAGCCACAGAATATATTTCTAATTATATCATTTAATAGCCCATCATTAGCATAATTAAATAGGGCGCTATTTAAAAGTTAGTAAAAGTCATACTATTATTTTTGCCAACTAATGACAAATATCAAATTTGTGACATAGAAGACAATATATTTTATATTTTAAAAATTATCAGAAATAGACTTCATATATTGCATAACAAAATTATATCAATTGAAAAATTTGCCAACTATTTCTGAAGGCAATAGTGAAAAGCCTCTTAGCCCCTACTGATTTAAATTTATGATTAATAATTTGTGTAAAAATAAATATTTTTTTTAAATAAAAATTTGATTTTCAATAAATATCTAAAAGTTGATGAAAATGTCTAAAGGTGAACTAGATTTATTTTCGTTTTATTATTTAAAACCTCAAATCTTAGAGGGAATTTGAATTTAAAAAACATTTTGACTTAATGAAAGTATCCGGGTCAAAAATGGTATGAATTTGTAAATCCGGGCCAAAATAAAAAATCTGGCTGGCCATTATCATTACTTAGTTTATAATAAAATTTTGCTTAATATCATAGAGACTAGGTATCTAATTCTTTTATTTTATAAATATTGTTTTGTTTAATTTTCACCATCACCAAACCTGGGTTCGGAATAAGGCCATAACATTATACCTTATATTGGTTAGGGTTAATTAATAATAATTTAAAAATTTGGTTAGGTTTAATATTAATCATTATTTTGTTTAACAATTTTATTTGGGAAATTTTCATTTGGAAAAATTTTACCCGAATTTTTTTTAAATTTTGTTTTGTTGATTTTCTCAAAAATTTTAAATAATTTATTTGTGGATTTTTTTTCTAACGCGGAATTTTTTTCCTGGGGATTTATCTTCCGGGGAATTATTTTCCTAGATTCATTTTTAGCCGTTTTAACTTTATTTTAGTGGGCTAAATAACGACCAAAGCTAGTTTTTAGTGGGAATTTCTATCTCAGTTTAAAAAAATTGATAACTGAACTTTTAAGAAAGTAGAAATAAATTAACTCGCGCATGAATGCTTAGCAGATTTTCTTCGGCACTCGCTTGTAGATTAAGCCGAATTCTTCGATTTTTTATTCCTTGCAATGAAGTCTATTAATTAGTGCAATATATAATAAAAAAATATAAACATTGCAAACCTACTCAAAAATTTCGGTTAACTGATAGTGCTTAGATAGATATAAATAGTGGTATACCGATTAGATGTCTGCGATGGGCGGGTTAGCCAAAAAGCCCGCCCACTCGTTGTTTTGAATTTTTTAACCCGTAAGCCCACCCACTTATAATTTTTTAAAAAAATTTGCTCTCCCGCCCATTTATATAAATTTTGTTTAATCCGCCCATCTAATGTTTAAAAATTATTTTAATGGCTGGTTTGGCTCTTTATTTATTTATTTTAATGTATTCTTAATATAATATGCAATATTATGAAATAAAACCATTATTTATAATAATTTGAAGTCTGTTCTGCTCATTTCCCCTGAAAAATTTAAAAATTCACCCGCCCACGCCCGGCTACTTAAAATTTTTTTTTGACCCGCCCACCGCCTAATGTTAAAAATATTTTAGCTCACCCATTGCAGACCTTTATTACCGATACTACTTCTTGGATGCCGATTCGATATTAAATTGATATCTGCCGATTACCGATCTGATATTATATTTGATTATGTATTCTATAGACAAATTAAGCGTTTTATTTTTTAATGCATACATCTACTCATCTCATATACTTTTTAATAGTATTAACCTTTAATCTAACAATACCATGACATAATATAAGTCATTCAAATATATTATAATGATCAGTTATAGTTCATATTTATGAATCTAAAAGTATATAAAATATTTTTATTGATAAATCACTTATTTATATAATATTTATTTATTTACATAATAATTAATAAACATATATACTATATTTTTTTTTAAAACAAAACACCATTTTATAAGATAAAATTTTGTAATATTGGCCTATAACTGATATTTATAAAAGATGAAATATCGATCCGATCCGATGGCCAAAATATCAATAAATAAGTTTCTAAATTTTGCCAAGAGATGGCAAACTTCTGCCATCTGTGGGCAAGATCTCCAAACTTGAGTAATTTAATTTTATTTTGGCTAAAATCTTGAGTTAGCCGTTATTAAAAATCTAAATCGTCGTTTAACAACACTAGCTGAATGTGATTAGTTAGATATATTTAATTCCCTTTCTTGTGGCAGATAATTTAAAAATAATTTCAAATTTTCAACCACTCTATCTTAAAATAATCCGATTTTATATTCCAAATAATTAGAGTTTTGGTTCACTTTATTAAGTTTTATTGTTATGAAATTTTGTATAAAATAAAATAATATTCTATAATTCTATATTACACAATTATCAAATAACCAAAAATAAAAAATATCGGATTGGTTTTTTAATAAATATCGACCCTATCCGATATTTTTTAAAAGGCGTTTGATATTTAATATCGACACATCCCGAAACATGGCAAATGATATAAAATTTTGATTCTATATTTATGTATATATTTTTTTAAATTATAGTCGTAATAAAATAAAAAATGATTTGAATATAATAAAAATTAAATATCAAGTAGCGAGTAACGTAAAATAGCTATGTTAAAGTAAAGGATCGCCTTAATTAGTTGTGTATCTCTAACACAACCTAGGTACTCTGCTTTTAAAAAAAGCATGCCGTTACGTTGTAACACGTTACTAACGGCAAAATTTATATCTAAGACTAGAAGCCTAATTGGAGCGATTGAGCTTTTTCCTGTTAATTTAAACAAAACAATAATTAATATTAAAACGTTTAAACGCTCCAGTTAAAAAGCAGCCTAAGTTGATATTATGAAAAATTTATTTGAATTAGTTTTTAAATAATATTAATAAAAATATCATTAATTTAAGGCGATAAGCTTTTTCACCCAAACTAAAACTATTACCCAATTATGGAGAATGGACAGTGATGAGACATCTAAGACAACTTCTGTGACGTCTATGCCAATTATAAAATAAATCAATTTTTACTATCATAATTATAAAATATAAGCTATTTCCATAATGGATGTTTTTTAAAGGTAAAAAAAAAGCCTAATAGATACATGCTTCTAAACATTATATTTTAAACTGCGTTAGTTATTTATCATTTTTAGAAAAAACATCTGTTCTGTAAGTTGCCTTAAAAAATATTAAATAACGATTGTTACCTGTGATAATATTTTATAAAGTGTTAAATAAATAAATTTTTTATGTATTACCTTACAAAGGACAATATTTTTTGTAATCTTGAATATATTTTTAAATAAAACTACTTGTACCAATTGTATTATCTATTTATTTGGGTCTTAGACTTGTGTCCCATAGGACAAGACTGCGGACCTGCGATAAATCCGGCCATTGCATCAACAAAATATTTTTTGTAATCTTTCCAAACATAAAACACATTCCTTCGTTTTATAATAATCGTGTTTATCCTTCATAGAAATTAACCTCTTTTAAGAATTAATTAAGTATAAATAATAAAATACATATTAAAAATTATGCGTTTTAATAAATATTTTAATTTTATTTGTTTTTTTCATTAAATATTATTAACATTAACATTATATTTAACAAAATAATATATATATATATATCATAAAGATTGACTCTTGTAAAGTAATTAATTCAGAAATCTTCTTAAACATTATTTTATGCATCCATTCATATTGCTCTAATTATAAAATAAGCTAAATAAGATTTTTTTTTTATAAATTATATAATAACTAGTAATTTGGAAGTCATGTTGATGATTTTCTTTAAAAAAAAGGAAGAATAATAAGAAATTAATCTGAAGAGTTAAAATTAGGTGTAAATGTAATATTTTAAATTTTTGCAATAAAATGAATCCACATAATATACAAAATTATGATTATACTTTACTTTAAACAAAATAAATGAATAGAATCGACGGTACATATTATTAACAATAAGGGGGAGGGGGGTCTCTTTCTACAAGTCCATAGGTTGTAAAATCACAGACTCAACATATTATGTTATAAAAGTTATTTTAAAAAATTTGGCGAATTGCATATATCAAAAAAAATTTATGGCCTTTAATAGGTCAGTTATGAGTTATTTAAAAAAAATCGAAATGTAATATTTCATTCCAAAGGCACTAAAAAATCTAAACAGGAGAGTTTTCTAAAATGCTCCAGCCGGTAATATAATAAACTATTTCAAAAATATAATGTATAAATGGAATGGAATGTTTCTTTAAAACATAATTGCTTCCTTGGGAAGCAACAAAAAAATTATATTTGAGGTGACTGCCTGTTTTCTTTTTCTTCTCGGTAAGCAGAGATCAGTTGATATCAAATAATCTATGTTAAATGCATCATCTATAGCATATAATAAGTTTGTATCATGAAGCTTCGAGTTTTTGTAGTTGTATTTGAGACGATGCGGGTGAGGTTTTATTTGCCATGATTTTAGACACCTTTATTTTACTGGGTCTTATAAGTTCTCCATGTTTGGTATCTAGTTTATAGACATAATAATATATAATATCGAAATTAACTTTAATATTACTATTACATCATTATTTAAATCATAACTATAAAATAAATTGATCGAACGTTGTCCAAACCTTCGATAGCGCATTAAAAATGTAAAAATTTTCGCCATATAAATATTACCCAAGCTTCGAGATTTGGCAAATAGATAGCAGAAAGGTTTGACCTTCTTTTGACAAAATCTCAAAACTTAAATAATGTTTTTTTGGCTAAATTCTTGATTCGCCGTTTTCTAAAAATAACTTAAATCGAGGTTTTGGCGTTAGAACTGGATATTTTTTTAAACATATTTTTTAACTTTCATCATTCAAGGTTTTGTGTAGGTTATTCGAATCCTTGTTGGGCAAACCGGGTGATATATGATTTACTTTTACACCGGCTAATGTATTTGTTGAAGAAGGTGTATATCTATCATCTTCCATTTCTTTCTCAACTTCCCCTAATGCAATCAAATTAATTGAGGAAGCCGTACTATTATTTACAACGTTGTTGCTTCGACTAAATCTTTTTCTTGAGCTGATACTGACGGGCGTCGGCGAATTATTTTCTGAGTTTATTGAGAGATTAGACCGGTGGGACAAATCACAATCAGTCGTTGTGTTACGTTTATCCTTGGTCACTGTGAACGAAGACGAAAAAGGATTATAGTCATTCTCTACTACTGAAACCATCATCGTGGTCATGTTTGTGTTGCTATTGTTATTGTTAACGTTCATGTTAGTCAGTTTAGAGTTCTGGCCACTTCTACGAGAGCCCTGAGGGCTTAGAATATTTCCATTTTTGGCATGAATAACTCTGGGAGATGTGGGTGAGGCATTGGAAGCCGTATGCATTTGTTTGGGCGATTGGTGACTAGGGAATTTACGATTAAGGGCATTGCCGGTTGACTCTGACATGGCTCCCCCACCCGGGAAGCCTAAATTGTGAGAAGCACCCGATGGCTTTACCGAAATTGTGTTAGGGGGCGTAGTTGAATGATGTTTGATGGCATTGGCCCGTCTTGGCTGCAATGGCATATTGGAACCACCTATAGACCCACCTCCAGGTTTATTTAAACGTGGAGCTTCCACGGGTTGAACCCTTCTTCGCTTTTTAGGAAGTTTAGCGCGAGCCTGAGAATGTGAGTATATCATGGCGAAATTACTAACTATGACCGGCACTGGAAGTGCGATGGTTAAAACTCCACCAAGAGCGCAAAAAGCTCCTACAACCATGCCTAAAACATTGTGTAAACACAATTTGAAAAAAAAATCTTTATTATCAATTTAAAACGATCCTTGATGCTTTATTTAACTATCCTTACCTTAATAATATTCCTTTTTATCCAATGTCACCATTATAGTTTGTGCTCATTTTATTTTTGTTATTTCGCTATTTACTATACCTATATATTTCGACTATATTCTTCCTATGACCTAACTATGTTTGTTCACTACATTTGTTCTTATTCAAACTAAGTTTACTTTACGCCTCTTATACCTTCCTTTTTATATGCTTTTTCAATTGCATTTTATCTCAACAGCGTTACCCCCCCCCCCCCCCATTAAGCCAAATGTCGATTTACTCTTATACCACGTACAAAATTAGTATTAAAAAGGAAGATTAAAATAAAATTAGCAAAATAAGTAAAATTCCAATCAAAATTAGCTAAAAAAAGGAAATCAAAACTATCCCGTCAATTTCAATGACGATCTTACGTCACACCTCCATCTCCGTGATTATAAAAGTCCTTGTATTTAATATCTAAATCATCTTAAAACTATTCTTCTCTGTCTTCGTCAGTTACTTAATATAACCTACCCTTCTATTGGCAAGCACTTTATCAAAATTTGGTTATTTCGCCCACCAAAAATGTAGCCTCTATTTTTATTTCCTGTAATAAGTATTTGAAATATTTTTACTTTCAAATTCTACTGGGCGTCTCTTAATCTCGTTAAAGTCATTACTTTTTGTAAGTGAATCTTTTCGTTTAAATTTGCATATTATTGAGAATTATATAAATTGTATTCTTGTGAGTACATGAAATTTATTATAGGATTAATTTGAATATTATAAATGAAATCAGAAGAATTGATAATATGATTATGCAATCGTTTTTATATATGGTGAATTCCATGACAAATCAAAATGAGTTTCAACCCAACTCCCTCAGATTTTTCTAAAATTTTTACTAGTTTGCATATTATAACTAATAAATAAATAAAATTTTAGTCTCCAACTCCAAACAGCGGCTGAAATACAGGTCTTTGGGAATAATGCTCTCCCTTTAATTTTAAATATCTTTGGATATAATCTAGATAAACGCGTCATATAATAATTTTAAATATTATTTTAAAAAATATAAATGCCAAAACAATTATTAGATTCGGTTGCTATTAGTGACAATCACTTTATTAACTAATGTTCATTTGTATTCCTAACCTAAATTATGATGCCCGAAAGAGTTTTAGTTTGATTGTTATAAATGGTGGCTTATTATAATATATTTTTTACTAACAAATCCTACCCTCTTTCCTAACGATTTCAGAGAAATTCTCAATCTGGAAATCAAATCTTAGCTTGTGGGCGTCTGCCGAGGTTTTTATCTAAGTTACTACATATATACCTTACTACATATATACCATCTAAAAATGACATTAGTCATGTGTTAAATTAAAATATTTGTTTTAAAACGAATGTATGTAAAATCAAAGCATAATGAAAAAACAATATGATAAGTACAATTGCACTGCAGGTAGGGGAGATTAATCTACCGAACATTACCTAGAATTGGTAAGTGATTTTTGATCACCCCCCCCCCCCCCTCCCATAATCTTAAAGCGAGAGTCAGTGATAGTTTTCAAAATTCTGTACATCACTATAATCTATATTTTTGTAGATGAAGACCAGACAATTATCCTTTCATTCGTAATAGTTGTAACAATCTTATTTAGCATCCTGGTCAACGCCTCAATTAAATATTGGCCTAGAGCTTCGAATTCATGTATTGTAATTTTCTTGCTTTATCATTTTACATTGTTTGAGATTTCTGAATACTTTAGCTCTTTATTTCCCAATATGTAATGAATCATCATTCCACAATTTCATATTGCCCATGTGCAAGTCATATGTCCATATTTTCTTATCAAATTCCCTAATTAAGAAGGTCTCTGACAGAAAGGTCTAATTCTGAGCGATTTATAATAAGTTTACCACCTCTAATCTATAACTTTTCCAACATGTACCAAAACATTATATATAAATGAGGTGTTCATCTTTTTGCTTAAGAAAATATCTACAATAAGGGAAACGCCTGAGCAATTTTCAATATATTCTCATTTCTATTTAATTTAGATACCCCCTCCCACCCTACAAAATATTTAAAATCTATATATCTTAGATATAGAGCATTTAATGATGGTCTTTACAATTGTCGCTTCATTTTGATAAAAAGTAACTAAAAGGATGTTTAGAAACACAGGTCAAATGAGTCAAAGCCATTTCAGCTAGTGAAGCTAAGAATTTGCTAAAGAGAAGAAACGATTAGGTAGGTTTTCTCTAATTTTCTTGAACCACTGCAGGCATTTAGCTATTACATTTTTTAAAAAAAATTTCTTTCAAATCATTGTTTATAGTGATATATTGTATATGGTGAATTCCATATCAAATCAACAAAAAAAGTCGATTTTCAACCCGATCCCCTTCAATTTTTCTTAAATTTTGCATACTGGTTAAGAAAAAAATGAAATTTTACCATGCAGCACTGTTTACCCGCTAAGATATCGCCGTTTAAAGCGCGGAAAAATGGTACATTTTGACAAAATGCACCTCATTTATTTTCAAATATCTCGAGAAATAATTAAGTTAGAAAAATAATTTAAATTTTATTTTGTAGCTTAATAAAAGTTCTTTAAAATGACATAAAAATAAATATGATGGACATTTTATTAATATTGAAAACCGGATGTGTAAAACCGGAAATGGCAATAGAAAAAAAGGTATTTTTTTCAAAATTTTTTTTCTGTAGATAGATATCACATTGCTTTATATTTGTACAAAATCCTAGACTGGGATGAACATGGGTTTAGGAGTTATCACTCTTTATATGGCTAAAATTGAACAAATTTAACAATATATCATCATATTTTAATTTAATGAATAGTTATGAAATAATGTTAATTTAAAAATTATGTCTAAATGACAGGCCCTTACTTTTTTTTATCTTTATAAAAAAAATTGAGAGGTGGCTGGGATAATGTGTAAAAACTTTAGTTAAATTTTATCTCGAAATTAAAATTACTTGACAAAATAATTTTAAATATTTTATTTAGTATAAAATAATCTACCAAAATTGAAATTCAACAATAAATTTTCCCCTATATATTCAAAATTAAAAGAAAGGCTTAATATATTATTTGACGAGAATTCTATAGATTATAAAACATTCAAACAATGGATAACAGTTGATCGAACTACCCTCGAAACACTGACAAAATCCGCTGATGAAATTGTAGATTATTTAATTGAATAATTAAACAATTTAATTCCTCATTTGTTTATAGCTTCACGATAATCAATAATTCGAAATTTTAAAAATTCAATTTAAATGTTGGCGAATTCTTAGTTATTGCAGACTTTTCAGAAAATTATGCATTTGTAGTGCAGAACCATGCACAAGGATTTAATCAGACCAATAATCAAGCCACTATCAACTCTTATAATTTATTACCGTGAGAACAAAATAAAACATGTAAATTTAGTGGTTATATCAAGTTGTTTAAAGCACAACGCATGTACATTTTATTTATTTTAAAATTGATAGTATTTTTGAAGGAAAGATTTAATAGGGTGGCTAAAATTTATTATTTTTCTGATGGATCAGTAACCAATATAAAAATAAAAAGTTTCATTAATCTCTACAATAATGAAAATGATTTTGGGATAAAGGCTGAGTGACATTTTTTGAAACCGCACAAGGTAAACGTCCATGCGACATTTTGGGGGCCGTTACTAAACGGTTAGCAGCTCGAGCAAGCTTGCAACGTCCATATGAACATCACATATTGACAACAATAGATTTATTTAACTATGCAAGCAAGTGAGCAATAATGAATGTATGACATAGAAACTCATCTTGAAAGCAGATTTTTGAGAGCAAAGAGAATTTCTGGAACACAAAGTTCCAAGCTTTTATTCCCTTAGACGAAAACAAAAGTCATAATTTATTAAAATTCCTTGAATGATTATAATATATGATATATTTTAATTATAAATTATTGATATTATTATATGTAATGCAATTTGAGGCAAATAAAGTTATAAATATGTTTAAAATTATTTTGTCAAGTAACTTCGAGATAAAATTTAACTAAAGTGTTAAACAAAGCTCATTATTCCAGCCACTTCTCAAAAATTTTGATAAAGATAAAAAAAAAAGTAAGGGCCTGTCATTTAGACATAATTTTTAAATTAAGATTATTTCATAACTATTCATTAAATTATAATATGATGATATTAATGTTAAATTTGTTCAATTTTAGCCATATAAAGAGTGATAACTCCTAAACCCATGTTCATCCCAGTCTAGGATTTTGTACAAATATAAAGCAGTGTGATATCTATCTGCAGAAAAAAATACCTTTTTTTCTATTGCCATTTCCGGTTTTACACATCTGGTTTTCACTATTAATAAAATGTCCATCATATTTATTTTTATGTCATTTTAAAGAACTTTTATTAAGCTACAAAATATAATTTAAATTATTTTTCTAACTTAATTATTTTTCGAGATATTTGAAAGTAAATGAGGTGCATTTTGTCAAAAATGTACCATTTTTCCGCGCTTTAAACGGCCATATCTTAGGGGTAAACAGTGTTGGAAGGTAAAATTTCATTTTTTTCTTAGTTATAGTATATACTACCAGTATACAAAATTTAAGAAAAATTGAAGGGGGTCGGGTTGAAACCTTGGCTGATTTGATATGGAATTCACCATATATTTTTTGGGGAGAAAGGATAAGGAGTGTTTAGAAAACTTTTTATTAGCTTAAGATGATGTTTACAAGTTTACGGCCTATAGCGGCAAAAATTTTGTACTAGAAAAAAATATTTATATAATAATTTTTTATGATAAAATATTACTTAAAATAATAAAGAAAAAAAAATCCTATTTGGCCTAATTTTAAAAAGTCTGGAGCCGGCCCTGAAATGAAACAAGGATGCAAGAAGCTTAAAAAA